TATCTCTATATTTTGAGGTTTCCCTTATTGTTTTGTCTTTAGGTTTTGAGCTATTAAAACTCGATGGCGAGGAAGAAGATCGATCAGAGATTACGACTCCTCCAAGAGACTTCTCAAGGAACACTTGAAACTGTCTCACTAACATAACATTGACCTCCAAATCCGCTCTGCTCAGGTAGGTCTCCCTCACGATTATTCTATAGTTTTGTTTTCATCGAATCTGATATTGATGATTACTATGTTTGGAACCAACTAGAAACATTTGAAGTTGAAAACTGTTTTTTTTGTTCTCTCTCTATTACTTGCAGGTGACAGAAGCTACTGATTTCACTGAGTTGACCAACGAGGAGTCATGGCTATCTACCACAAAGCTAGTTGTGAAGCCTGGTATGTTGTTTGGAAAACGCGGGAAAAGTGGTTTGGTAGCTCTGAAGCTGGACCTTGCTGAAGTTGCAGAGTTTGTCAAAGCCCGCCTAGGTTCTGAGGTGATTGATCTCAAGCTGAGTAATAGAAAAATGAGGGTTGAATCTTGCTATATTGTTTAATGTTTGTTTTTGCTGTTTTTTTAATTCTATGTGTGTGAAGGTTGAGATGGGTGGATGTAAAGCTCCTATCACTACATTCATTGTGGAGCCATTTTTGCCTCATGATCAAGAGTACTATCTTTCTGTTGTGTCTGATAGGCTTGGCTGCACTATAAGCTTCTCTGAATGTGGTGGTATTGAAATTGAAGAGAAGTGGGACAAGGTAATTACTAACTTCATGATTTGTTTTCTCCCAGTAACTATACCAAAATTTTCACATGGAGAAGTTGGTTTTTTATTGTATTTTTTTTTTTTTTTTTTTTGTCAACTGAATACTTAAAATTAAAAAGAAAAGGCCTCAGGCCCAATGTCTAGCCCATAGCAGGGGTGGTTACACATGATCCCTTAAGGATATTTTTAACTAAAACATCGACTTGTGAAAGTTGAAGTCGCGAGAGATGAGAGAAACAGATATCGACGGAAACAGAGGAGGTTTGTTGAAAATCTTTTACGATTCCAAATATCTCCTTGACCTGCGAGTCGTTGTTGATTGCTCTGATGAGCGTTGAGTTGCCAGAGATCATCTTAACCGACAATTGATCAAGATTCACTGCTGCGAAGATTCCCAATCTGATGGCCAATGCTTCGGCTACGATCGGGGAAGTGACGAAGCTCTCTATCGTTGATCCTTGTTTAAGTATTGCTCCTGAGTTATCATAGAGGATCAAGGCTAGTTCCGCCTTGTTCGTTGCTTTTTTCCAAGCCACATCCAGCCATGTAAGAAGAAGGTTAGCGAAACAGTTCACTGCTGTGAGATTGGTGGATCGTAACACTAGAGCCTCTGCTACCAACGGGGAGCTTACAGTGTCATGCGTGGTTGATCCTCGAGTTTTGCTTGTTCCGGACTGTCCCGTGAAGATCCAGGCTTTGGCTATGCTCCTTGAAAAGCTAAATTTGGCTATGCAGTCCATTCAAAAAGCAAGAACAGCTTCAATATTGATGATGATAATCCGGGAGACTAGGTGAATCTCAACTGGGCCGGAGATCATATTGTTCAGCAAGAAAGACAGTGAGACAGTTGCATACGCGCGACTAAGGCTAGACGATGATGACCGATGTATGCTGTCTTGGTTTGAGAGCGGGGATGGAAAATCCACTAAGGTGCCTTGGTGAGAGAGAAATTTGCCTTGAGTTTTGGTTCTAGAACACTCGTTGGAATGAGCATAGGATGTTGATTCCATAAAAACAAGATTCTCTGTCACAGTTCTTGGCTTGGTTGAAAAATGGCTGACCTTGACTTCACATCCTTGAGAAATAAGCTTGATGATATGTGATGGGTGGGCGGTGGTTGAGTTCAAACAGGGACTCCATCCTCCAACATTACCGTGTTGGGTCCAAAGATCTGTGGAAACTAAACCTAGCCGCTTTTCATCATTCTTTATCAAGCTAACCATGAAAGACCAAGTACCTTGAAGTACAGAACTTGTGAAACTGAGCTCAGTGAAATTGTTGTGTTGTGTAGTGGTCAGGCTGAGATAATTGCCACAAACATGGTAAGGCTGGAGCCATACACTTCTTCTGAGCACAAGCCTAAGTCCGTAATGGTTGGTTTCCATACGAACCCAAAAGATTGGAAAAAATGAAGTACTAGGCTTGGATCTTCCGATGTACAAAAGAGGGGAGAGATACAATGGAGGGAACCAACCGGTGAAGACTCTGAGAAGTTGATTTTTAAAAACAGAGCAAGGTTCAGAACCGGTTTTCACAATTCGAAAGCTTGGAGAGCTTGAGACAGCTACATCATGCGACGGAAGAGATAGGTTGAAGACGCCGGAGTCCGGTGAACGTATGGCGCAGAAGAGAACTTGCCTCTTGGACACACCAAGGAAGACACCACCAGTAGTTTCAGCCTCCATATCTGAGACGGTGGACTCAAGATCTACAACTTTTGTGACCATATGAGGAGAGGTGTATAGGGGTTCATCGACGAAGGGGAGACAAGAGAGGATGACGACTGCATCAGGAGGGTCTGGGGGCTCAGGCGGCTCGCTTGGAGTGACAGACTCAAGCGGTGCAGACAGCTTACACGGTGGTGGATCTGGCGGAGGTCTTGAACGCGGCTGAGGCGGAGCTTTCACCATTGAGACTGGAAGAAGTGGACGAACGTCTTCACAGGGTAGTAGACGGGACGTCGGAGCTGGATCGGAGAGGGGCCATACAGTGACGGCGCCTAGGGAGGCGGGCCTGGGAGGGTTTATAGAAGTAAACTGTGGTTTTTTATTGTATAAAACAGGTGAAGACTGTGTTTCTTCCTGCGGAAAAGTCAATGACGCTTGAAGTATGTGCTCCTTTGATAGCAACACTTCCTCTTGAGGTAAGTTTTTGTTATACTGCGTTGTTAAAGAGCTATGCTAAGGTTTGACTAATGTTTCTATACATTTTCAGGTTCGAGGTAAAATAGGCAGCTTCATAATGGGCGTGTTTACTGTATTTCAAGGTATGTTTAGGCCACTTCTTGATTTTCAAACATTTGTGCAAATACCAACAGCTTCTGTACATGAACTCTGATGGCTTTAGATTATTTATCTGTTTGTGTTCTCTTTGAAGATTTGGATTTCAGTTTCATGGAGATGAATCCTTTTACGCTAGTCGATGGAGAGCCATATCCTCTTGACATGAGAGGAGAGTTAGATGACACAGCTGCTTTCAAAAATTTCAACAAGTATGCCAAACATTTTTCAGTCATTTTTTTTTTCTGTGGGAGATCATTGGATTGATAAGATCTCTATCTATTCAGGTGGGGAGATATTGAGTTTCCTTTGCCATTTGGAAGGGTACTCAGTCCAACGGAGAGCTTCATTAATGGTTTAGATGAGAAGGTATAAGATGTTGGCTTCTCTTAAGACACTTCTTATATGACTCATGAAAGAAAGTAATGTTACTGATGGTACATGTGTGTGTTACTTATTGCAGACAAGTGCTTCTTTGAAGTTCACTGTTTTGAATCCTAAAGGTCGCATTTGGACTATGGTAGCTGGAGGCGGTGCTAGCGTCATATATGCTGATACGGTGAAATTTTTTAAAAGAAAGAAAGTGTTATTATGATGAAGACTCCAAACAAGTTCTCACATTGTGTTTATCTGCTTTCTTAACAAGGTTGGAGATTTAGGCTACGCAGCAGAGCTTGGAAACTACGCAGAGTATAGTGGAGCACCTAATGAGGAAGAGGTGTTACAATACGCTAGAGTTGTCATTGATGTGAGTTATACCAATGAGCTTAGCTTTTGCCATTCGCTATATACAAATTAGAGCTTTTTATGGATAAAATGTTTTGTGGCTTTCTCAGTGTGCTACTGCTGATCCTGATGGGCGCAAAAGAGCTCTTCTCATTGGAGGTGGCATTGCCAATTTTACTGACGTGGCGGCTACTTTCAACGGTATCATCCGCGCTCTAAGAGAAAAGGTATACAACCTTTAAGAGTTGCTACTGCATTTTGGTGAAGATGAGATTGCCTAAGAGAATTGAACCGGTGTTCGGCTATTTGTATCTTATCTTTTTTGTTTGTGAAATGAGCAGGAAACAAGACTGAAAGCATCAAGAATGCACATATACGTAAGAAGAGGTGGTCCTAATTACCAGACTGGTCTGGCTAGAATGCGTGCTCTGGGTGATGAACTCGGTGTTCCTCTTGAGGTAACCAAACACACTTATGGAGTATTATTAGGTTGAATACTGATCTTCATGAGGATTGATGAATGTAGGTATATGGACCAGAAGCAACGATGACAGGAATATGCAAACGAGCCATCGACTGCATCATGTTCCCTGATGCATAATCAACCAAACCTATTATGATATCTTCTTCAGTTGAAAGAAAAAGAAGCAGAACACAAACGTGGAACTGGAGATGGGAGGAGTGTGTGTGTGTGTCTTGAACCCTGTTCTTCATCTCTCTTTCTGCATAAGAAAATGAAAATCTCGTTGAAACTTTTACTTGTATGGGTGGTAATATTGAAAACCAAATCATTGTGGGTTGTGTTGCAAATGTAACAGTAATCAAAACAGTCAAAATCGTCTTTTTAAGTGTACAAATAAGATTTTATACAAATAACTTTACACCAAATTTTATACTCACCACGCAACATCATTCATATCGCACAAGAACTTTATTTATTTTTGAGGTATCACTCACACTTCAGAAAGTGAAGTAAAAATAAATAGAAAAACAACCAAGGCGCATACAAGTTTCTTCACACCGAATACAAAGCAATCATAATCATGAGACAAGAAAGTACGACACAATTACAGAGCTGAATACAAACAGTTGCAACTTTGCTCTCGGAAGCTGTGAGCTGCGAAGTTGTATGTCTAATTGAGAGCGACCTGAGAATATCAAAGCAGACATCAAGTCGTAAGATGAACACTTACAATTATGTTATATGCTTTTTGTTTTTACCTGACACGAGTGGATCCACCTAGTCTTCAGTAGCTTCATCTTCCAACTTTTCCCACAATTCTTCGTCTGCAACTATGTCTACACGTTGGATAAAGTCGAGTACCTTCGTGCTAATTGGAAGCTTTTTCAGCTTTGGACAGTTTAGTATCGTCATGTTCTTTAGACTAGGCAATTCCAACAGTTTTGAGTAGATACTCTTCAGTTCCTCCAAGTTGACTAACCTAATCGCACTTAGTTTTCGAAAGGGTACAATACTCATCCCTTGTGTAGTATACCAGAAACCTTTTCACTGCTTACAATTTCTTGCAACTCCGGTGATGGCCCATCTACGGATACTATCGTAAGATTTGGAGCGAAGATTAACCACGACAAATCCTGTATACCACTGACGCCAGAAAAAATGACAAAGCTGAGGTTTTGGAAGGATATGGAACTTGTACTTCTGCATCCATATCTCGTGTGCTCCACTATATCAGAGATGAAACTTTCTTGTATCATGATATAGCGAAGGCTAGCCATAGCCTTTTCTAACTGCAAAGGACCGTCTTTTGCTACAATTCCCTCCAGAGTTATATATAGGATACAGCTAGCCAATTTGGGGATACTTAAAAGACGTTCTAAAACAACCATATTATTGATAGTTACCCCCAAGCCTTTCAAATTCCTCAGTAACTTGATATCCTCTATCAACTCCAGACTTAAAAAAATAATACCTTCATCTAAGAATAGCATTTCTAAATTTACCAAACTTGATATCACACTGATGCTTTGAAGAGTTCGTACGTATGACAAATCAAAATATCTCAACTGAATCAACTTTCCCAATCCTACAGGTAAGTTCTCTAGACTTGTTCGTGCTAAGTCAAGATGTCTCAAGCTCACTAAGCTTGAAATTTCTTCCGGCAACTCGGTTAGATTTATGTTGAAAGATAGATCCAAAATCACTAACTTCGGCATCGATAGAAAAAATTCACCTGAGATGTTCACCAGATTGTTCATGTATAACAACAATGTGGTAAGGTTAGGACACACCGGAGAGATGGAGATGTTCTGAATCTTATTTTTTGCCAGTGACATCCTTCTCACCGCATTCCAGTTCCTAACTACAGGCATCTGTTGCAGTCCAGCACCTGTCTTGACGATAACTTTCTCTTCCTCTTTCCCAAAGTTAGACGCAGCCCAAAGAGCCATTTGGCGAATCACATCATGCATTGTTACTACCTCTAAAGGAAAAGTGTCACCAGGCATCAACAGACATGCACTAACTAGGATACCGATTATACTATAACCGTGGTTGATATCTCTTTCTCTATCTCCACCTCCATTTATGATCCCCTCCGATATCCAGTGATGGACCAAACTGTTATTGTCAACTTCTTCATCTTCTGGGATTAAAGCCCAGTACTGGAAACATTGCTGTACTGTATCGTCCTTAAGATCATCATAGCTAAGCTTCAGAACTTTAAGAATCTCGTCTTTAACTTCTGGAAAGCTGGTCGCATTTGTATTTAGAATATCAATGGCATCCTCCCACTCGCCTACTGATGTTTTGCATGCCATTGTTTCCCCAATAACGTTGAGTGCTAGGGGTAAGCCTTGACATTTTTCACAAAGTCGTCTTGCTAGGTGGAGGATCTTTGGATCCCTTTCAAGTGTGTTAGCTCTAACTTTCTGTCGGAATAGTTCCCAAGCATTCTCCTGGTCTAGTTTCTTGACTTCCAAGTCATGAGGGCCCATACGCCCACAAACGTATTTCGAGCGAGTGGTAAAGACAACCTTGCTTCCATTTTCTCGTGAGGGTAATGGAATTCCAATCTCTTGTAGTTTCACTTTCTCCCATATGTCATCTAATAACATAACGAATCTTTTACTTGTAAGAACATCTTTTATACAAGTGGCTTTCTCGTTTTGGTCTTTTTTCTCCCACTCCTCGTCACAGAGGCCTAGTCTTTTACCGATCTCCTTTTGGATCTTTTCAACTTGTAGGTTTTGAGACACCACAACAAATATCACGAATCCAAACTCATCTTTTTTTTCAAGTAACTTCTTATTGATTTGTTTGAGAAGTGTGGTCTTCCCTATTCCACCCATACCCCAAAGACCTAAGATTCCAACTTCCTTCTCCATGAGACGGCTCCATGTAGCTTCAAGCATCTCCTCTAAACCGACTGTGCGTTGAGTGGCTATATCCTCTATACCAGGTGGAAGAGCCTTCCTAGCCACCTCGCCAGAAGGTTTTGAGGACAAAATACTTTTTACCTTTACCAACGTTTCTAATACATCTTTACCATAACGATAGGTTAAAAACAAGTCGCTGGAGCAGTACCCGCACATAGACAATCTTTCGAGTTCTGCAGTCTTATCTTCAAGCAGTTCACTGACCTTTGGTTGGATGGCTTTGACTTCTGAAAGCCACACCTTAACTTCTTCTAGCCCTCGCAAACCTTTTCGTTCTTCCACCTCCAGTTGGTTCTGCAAGTCAACCTTCGCTGCTTCGAGGTGTCGCTCTTCCCTTTGCAAATCCTCAAGATTAGCTTCCAGTTCGAAGATATACTTGGCCTGTCGTAGGAAAGAACTTGTTGCAGGTTGAAAGACGCTTGAAAGTACGTTCCCCATTGTGTTTCAGTTGAAAAACAAAACAAGAGAAGATCAAAATGGAAAGAATACCAAGCACTCGTTGAAACTCAAGAACTATAGAGATAAGGAGATAGAATAACTTCAATATTGAGAGGTGGAGATTAACCTTATCTCAATAAGAACGTACATAAACTAAAGTAGCAAGCAGGCTTTGGTCTTGTTCGTATAATATAAACTTGTCCTTGTCAATCAATTTAAAGACAGCTAACAAATTCATGACTTTGGGGACGAATGCTAAGTGCTTTGAACAGATTTTCATTTTTTTTTACCGCCAGTTTTATTACTAACGATGCTTTATTAAAAAAGATCTTAAACTACAACCAAAAATCTTAGAAAGGAAATAGATTTCTTTATAAATCAATCTTTCTACAGTTTTATATTTATTGTTTTCAAAACTTTGAAATATTTATACACCAATAAAATGTAAAACTAAAGCCACAAATCTACATTTAAAATTATAAAGCAAAAAAAAATTAAAATTGACCTTAGTATTATCAAAGCAATAATAACAAGTCTACTTATGGAGTATTAGCAAAAGTGTTAATAAGACTTTAAATCTAGAAACATGGTAGTTGGTGAAACACAATCTGCCAGAGAGAATCTCTCAGAAGAAACTTGAAAATAACACTTGTTCAGCTTTCGGTTTAGGTATAATACTGATCTTCATAAGGATCTGTGATAGTAGGATATGGACCAGAAGCAACGATGACAGGAATATGCAAACGAGCCATTGACTGCATCATGTTGCCTGATGCATGGTCAGCCAAATCTATGAACACGAACTCGGAGCTGGACACTGAGAAGTGTGTGTTGAAAACTTCTTTGAAACTTTTGCTTGTGAGGGTGTAATATTGAAAACCAAATCATTGTGTATTGTGTTGCAAGTGTAACTGTAATCAAAACGGTCAAAATCCTCTTTTTAAGTGTACAATTAACTTTATACCAAATTTATACTCACCACGCAAAATCATACAACATCACACAACACAACAAGTCTATTTATTTTTGGTCCAAAGTATTTTGAGGTATCACTCACACTTCAGAAAGTAAAGTAACAATAAATAGAAACACCCAAGGCGCACCCAAGTTTCTTCACACCAGATTCAGAACAACCATAACATGAAACAAGAAAATACAATACAATTACAGGAGCTGAAGCCAAACAGTCTGTCGCAACTCAATGAAATGGGTTACCTCAGAAGCTGTGGAGTTGCATGTCTATTTGGGAGCTACCTGAGAATATCAAAGCAGAAGTGAAGTGAAGGTTGATGTAAGAAAAACACTGACATATGTTATATGCCTTTTTTTTTTTGTTATTTTACCTGATTACGGATGGATCCACCTTAGTATTCAGTAGCTTCATCTTCCCACTCAAGTCCTCTCAACCATTCTCTGTCTGCCTGTATATCAATGCCCTTCAACCTCTCCTTGTTAAATGGAAGCTTTTTCAGCTTTGGACACTTAAATATTATCATGCTCTTTAGACTTGGCAATTCCAACCGTTCCCAGTAGAAACTCTTGAGTTCCTCCAAACCGCGTAAGTTAAGCTCACGTAGTTTTCGAAAGGGTACAAAACTCCGCCTCTCGTTTTGTAACCCATAAACCTTTTCTCTGCTTATAATTTCTTCCAATCCCCATTCTTCCCCCAGTAAGTCTATACTTATAAGATTCGGGGCAAACAACAACCACGACAAATCATGTACACCATGGCCGCCCCAAATAACTACAGAGCTGAGGTTTTCGAACCATATGGAACTTATAAATCCGCGTCCATATATCGTATCAGAGATGATACATCTTTCTATCTCAATGGAGCGAAGGCTAGCCATAGCCGTTCCAAACTGCACCGGACGGTCTTTTTCAGCAATTCCCGCCACCCTTATATGTTGGATACAGCTAACCAAACTGGGGGTACTCAAAAGACGTTCCAAAACATCCGCATCATCGATACTTACCCCCAACACTTTCAAATTTTCCATTAACTTGATAGCCTCTAGCAACTCCAGACTTACATAACCAGTACCATGTAACAATAGCATTTCTAAATTTACCAAACTTGATATCACACTTATGCTTCTTAGACATCGTACCCTTCTCAAAGAAAGGTATCTCAGCTGGATCAACTTTCCTAATCCTACAGGCAACTTCAATAGACTTGTTTCTGATAAGTCAAGATATCGCAAGCTCACTAAGTTCGAAACTTCTTCTGGCAAGAAATTTAGAATCCGGTTGAAAGATAGATCCAAAATCACTAACTTAGGCATGGATAGAAAAAATTCACCTGGGATTCCCCTCAGCCAGTTGTCTGCTAACAACAATGTGGTAAGGTTAGGACACTTGGGGGGAATCGAGACGTTCCAAATATAATTTTTCGCCAGTGACATCCTTGTCACCGCATTCCAGTTCTTAACCTTAGGCATCTCTTGCAGTCCAGTACCTGCCATGACGATACAATTCTCTGTCTCTTCCCCACATTTAGACGCAACCCAAAGAGCCATTTTGCGAACCACATCATGCATTTTTACTTTCTCTAAAGTGTCAACAGGAATCAAGAGACATGCACGAACGAGTTCACCGATTATCTTATAACCCTCATCGATAGCTTCTTCTCTGTCTCCACCTTCATCTATGAACCCTTCGTATATCCAGAAGTCAACCAACCTGTCGTTATCAATTTCTTCATCTTCTGGAAATAAAGCACAATACTGGAAACATTGCTTTATTGTGTCGTCCTTAAGATCATCATAGCTAAGCTTGAGAATTTTAAGTACCTTGTCTTCAACCTCTGGATATAGACCCGCATTTGTACCCAGACCTGTAATCGCACGCTTCCACTCGCGTACTGACGTTTTGTATGCCATTGTTTCCCCAATAACTTTGAGTGCTAAGGGTAAGCCTTCACATTTCTCACAAACTTGCCTCGCTAGCTGGTAGATCTCTGGATCATTTAGAGTGTTACCTTTAATTTTCGGTCCGAATAGTTCCCACGCATTCTCCGGGTCTAGTTTCTTGACTTCCAAGTCATAATCAGATTCCATTCTCCCACAAACATCTTTCAAGCAAGTGGTAAAGACAACCTTGCTTCCATTTTCTCGTGAGGGAAATGGAATCCCAATCTTCTTTAAATCCACTTTCTCCCATATGTCATCTAATAACAGAACGAATCTTCTCTTTGCAAGAACATTATATATACGAGAAGTTTTCTCTTCTTGAGTATTTGTCTTCCACGCCTGGTCACAGATGCCTAGTCTTTTACCCATCTCATTTTGGATCGTTTCAACTTGTAGATTTTGAGTAACCACTACAAATATAACGATCGCAAACTCATCTTTTTTTTCGAGTAACTTCTGGTTGATTTTTTCCAGAAGTGTGGTTTTCCCTATTCCTCCCATCCCGTAAAGACCCAAGATTCCAACGTCCGTCTCCATGAGACAGCTCCATGTAGTCTGAAGCATCTTCTCTAAACCGACTGTGCGTTGAGTGGCTATCTCCTCTATACCAGGTGGAAGACCCTTCCTAGTCACCTCACCAGAAGGTTTTGAGGACAAGAGCCTTTGTGCTTCCTCCAACGTTTCTAATACATCTTTACCATAAGAATAGGTTAAAAAGAAGTTGGTGGAGCAGATCCCGCACATAGACAATCTTTCCAATTCTGCAGTCTTATCTTGAAGCAGTTTACTGACCTTTGGTTGGATGGCTTCGACTTTTGAAATCCAGTCCTTACATCTTTCATCCCTTGGCAAACCGTTTCGATCATTCATATCGAGTTTCTCCAGTAAGGCAACCTTCTTATCTTCGAGGTCCGGCTTAACTTCTTCCAAATCCTTAAGATGATCGTTCAGTTTGAATATATACTTGTTGGCCTTTTCAAAAACCAAATTTTTGGCAGCTTCAAAGCCGTTTGAAACTATGCTAGAAACTACGTTTCCCATCGTGTTCCAGTAGAAAAAAAAAAGACAGAAAGAGGAGAATGGAAAAGGAGAACAAGAAGAACACCAACCACTCCACTCGTTGAGACTCAAGAAATAGAATGTGCATAAACTAATATTAAAGTAGCAAGCAGGCTTGGTCTTATTCATATAATATATTTGTCCTTGGCAATCAATTAAGGACGCCAACAAATTAAGGATGACTTTTTCTAGGTCTTATTCATATAATATATCTGTCCTTGTCAATCAATTAAAGACGCCAACAATTTAGTGACTTTTGTATATCGTTTCTGTTATTGTTTAAAGTAAATTCAGGCTAGAGACTTAGGTTGAATTTTTTGTTTTTTCTGTCATCTGATAATTAAAGTTATCATTAGTATAGTTAATATTGCAAGTTGCTTATATTGCAAAGTTTAATAATCAGATTATTCACTAGGAAATAGTATACAGACCCTTGCTGGTGTGGCTTAGTCTATCTTCCTTGAAATTTGTACCTTCTGCCTTTTTAGGATTCTTTAGATCTAAAGCATGAGTTGTAAGATATAAATTTAGAGATACGCAAGTATATTCTAGATGCAATGTATAATTTACATGAACCTTAAACATATCATTACACAATATAACCACATCTGATTATAGTTTACTTTTTAACTCAATGCTAACTCAATTGGACTCTTTCCTCAATATATGTATTAATACATCTCAAATAACTACATTTTATTGCATCACATGAAACATCATTTGCATGCACGTATACGAGGAAAATAAACATATATAGCAGAATGTTTGGATGATGATTTAAGTTTAAAACATTAAAAGATTAATCAATATGAAATTACTAGTCTTTATAATATATTTTTGTTGTGAAAAAATAATGAAAAGGGGTTACTTAGTCTTTGTTCATCGACGTCTTCATGAACGAGAAAGGCCCACCAACCAATTGAAAAGCATTCATTTGCAACTTTCCATTTTAATCATATTTTTATTTGTTCAATTGCACAATCTCCCCACAATTGCAATAAATGAAAGAATATAATTTGGTTTGGTTAGAAACTGAATTTAAAATATGAATAGAAGTTCAATTTGGTTACAGTTGCAATCAATGAAAGGATATCATTTGATTTGGTTAGAAACCAGTTTAAAGATATAAATGGAAGTTCAATTCAGTTATACAAAAAGCTAATTGGTACATTCTATACCAAACTAGATAACCAATAGAACTCCAACGTAGATCTGAAACTTCATTTTCCAGCATGTATACGAGGAAAAGAAACATATACATCAGAAAGTTTGGATGATGATTTGAATTTAAAACATTAAAAGATTAATCAATATGAAATTATTAGTCTTTATAATATAGTTTTGTTGTAAGAAAATAACGAAAAACATGGACGAGAGAAAGTCCAACCAACCAATTGAAAAGTCTTCATTTGCAACTTTCCATTTTAATCATATTTTGTATTCGTTCAATTGCACAATCTTCTCACAATTGCAATAAATGAAGAAATATCATTTGGTTTGGTTAGAAACCCAGTTTAAAAATACGAATAGGAGTTCAATTTGGTTACAATTGCAATAAATGAAGGAATATCATTTGGTTTGGTTGGAAACCTAGTTTAAAAATATGAATAGAAGTTCAATTCGGTTATACGAGAAAACTAATTGGTACTATCTATACCAGACTAGATAAACTAATCTTGAGCTTCTTTATAAGGTTTAAATTTGATTCAAATGCCCAACTAAGAGTTCAAATAATTATAACCCTGTTTTAAAAATATTAACAGAAATTCAATTGGTTATACGGAAAAAACTAATCGAAACAAGACGGTATGGTCTATACCAGACTAGATAACCAAACATTGGACTTTTTATAAGATTTTAAATTTGATCCAGAGGTCCAACTAAGAATCTAAAGAAACCTGGTTTTAAAATATGAACATAAATTCAATTTGGTTATACAAAAACAAATTGAAACCGGACGGTACGATCTATACCAAATATGATAAACAAATCTTGAGCTTCTTTATAAGGCTTTAAATTTGATTTAGAGGTCCAATTAAGAATCCAAAATTAACATATCTTGTTATCATATCTATGTTCTTCCATTCTTGCTAGAGTAACACTAAATATTCTTGATATCTTAGTACGTAGTTTTTGAATCGCATCTTTATTCTTGCATTGTATCCTTGCTGTTTATTTGTGTTATAGAAAAACTGGTAAGTAATGGTGTGATATTAGAAGAATTGGTAATATCTCTCTTGCAAGTTTGTTGTTACCTAGTATAATCAAGTTTGATGTTTAATTTAGAATATAGCTATCAGTTCTTTTGTATGAGATGTTAATGTTTCTGTGTTCATATCTTTGTTCATCATCACTTCAGTGCAACGTTATCTTCTTTCTTTGCAAGATATGTTTTATCTATGAAATATGGTATAATAACATGAGGTTGAATTCTTTTTTCTTGTTGTTGCAGGCTGCAGACAAGTAGACAAACCTGGAACAAAGTGAACTCATGCCAAGAATTTTAATTTGAGATATCAAAGTGAATAAAAAGATATATCAAAATGTGTTTCATAACCTTGCATATACAATATTTTGAGATTATTTCAAATCAAACTCAAATTTGAATTTTTATTGTTGGATTTTAAAAGAATTCAATAATTTTTATTTGACAAAAAAAAGTTGAGGCTATATAAATTAATTATGAATTAATTTGAGCTAATTTTTAAAATAGCTTGGGCTTGGGCTATGTCCAACTGAACATGGGTGAAGTTGGGGTTGAGTGTTATTGGACTTGGGTCCAACTCATTTGACAGTCCTAATCCAAATAATTAAACCTACAAAATATTTCCCGCCTTCCCGGTCCAGAAACTTTAATTCAAAACTCAAAAATCTCTCCAGTGGCTTTTGTCCAAAGAAGAATCGGAGATGGGAGACAGAGGTGAACAGATCAAGTTCCGATGTTTGATTCCTTTATTGGGTTTCTAAGTGAGATTATGTATAACGTGTAAAAGGTTGGTGTTTGGTGACAGTTGATCTTTGGTCTGAGATCATTAGATCCGAGGAAGAACACGGAGATGGGTTCAGAGAAGTTCCTCAAGTCGAAGTTTATCAGAGAAGGAAGAAGATTGAGAAGCCTTCCTCTGCCGAAAATTTGTAATTTTGCAAAAAGCTAAAACCCTTCCTTTTGTTGTTGTTTTTTGGCTCTGTAATCTGACAATGTTTTAAATTTCGATGTGTGTCTGAAAAACAGAGTCTGGTCGGTGAAAGGGGCTCGAACTAGTTTTGTCAATGGACCCAAGAGAGATAGCTGGACTCGTTCCCTTTCCACCAGGTTATTATTCAGAGTGTAACCCTAATTTTCTTTTTTCCCACTTCTGATTCTTACAGTTGCTACTAAAAATCTAATTTTTTTTAATTGTTTTTATGTTGTCTGAGCATTTTTTGAGCTTTGTAATTGGTGCACACCTTGTGTTCGTTGAAATGTCAAGGAAGTGCCGCCAATTTTTTTCTTTTAAGTAGACTGATGAAAAGATTGATAACTGTGGCAGAGGGAGAGAGAGTATAGCAGTGGGCGCTTATGTCAACAATCAGCCTCAGAAGAAGCCAGCTAGGAGAAAGAAGCCTCCTATTCCAAAGGTAGTCTAAGTTGTTTCAATGAGTTTTATATGAAGCCTAGTGTTCTCTGAACAGACACTCTCATTGTCTCCTAGTAGATGGTCAGAATGTGATTTTTATAAACGCATTATGTTTTAATATCTCAGGAAAAAGCTGTGAAAGCTCAAGACTTACAGAAAGAGAAGGAGTATTTTCATGAGGTTGATGCTTTTGAGCTTGTGGAAGAGAGTCCATCTCCCAAGAGCAAGAATGCTAGTACATGGATCAATGGTGAACAAGTTGTTCCTGAGGTGCCACATCTGGCCACAAGATTAGAGAAATGGCTGATCTCGAAGAAGTTAAATCGTTCTTGTGGTCCTTCAAGCACACTCTCTAAGATACTTGAAACCTCACACTCAACCACACGCTTAGAGCCAATACTTGATGATGATGCACTTGATGCGTTGGCTCTAGGAACCCCAGAAAATTCTTCTGCTAGCAACAGTTCAATTTTCCGGCTCATCCAGAGCAGTGGTGACAGTTTAGATCCTGAAGATGTGCCTATTATTAGAAAGATCAAGACGGAAGAAATTGACCTTGACGATGTGCCTGTTAGAAAGATTAAGACGGAAGAAATTGACCTTGAAGATGAGCTGAAGCGACTTTCTTTGACTTCTGATCTGGTGTCTCCTCATCCAGATTATGAGAAGCCATTTGTTGATCTATTGTCCGCCTGTGGACAAATGCAACCATCAAACTTCATGGAAGTATTCTCCAAATTCTGGTATGGACCTCCATAGAGATGATCTTTTATGTTCTAGCACTGGCTGTTTTTCTAGTGCTATAGTTTCTTCTTTTACTAGTGTTCTGCATTTTGGTTGGCTCTTTAATAAACCCTGGTTGAGATATGCGATATACTGTTCTTATCTCATTATGATTATTAATTTGAGCTAATTATAATTATGACTCAACCTTGCAGTGAACCAGAAAGCATTGTCAAGATTGGTGAAGGTACTTATGGGGAGGCTTTTAGAGCTGGTCCTACTGTCTGCAAAATAGTTCCAATAGATGGAGACTTCACTGTTAATGGAGAAATACAAAAGGTATTTTTCTAACCTCACTTTTTTTTTCCTCTCAATGATCCAGTTTCTGGTAAGTGAAAGATCATTTTTAGCATGAGAGGAAATATTAGAGAGGTCAGTGACTGCAAGTTAAGTTAATTCTATGTAGAGAAGAACACATTGTTTGTAATTTTTAGATATGTTAATCATCTCTAGAGCAATGCATTGATGGTGAATGAAAGGCCTGCACTTCTCACATCAGCTGTTATGAGAACGAGTTATGGTTACTTTTATATCGAAGTGAATACTATATATGTAATACATGCATCTTATTGTATGTTACCTTTGTTGCAGAGAGCTGACGAACTGCTTGAGGAAGTGATACTCTCTTGGACTCTTAATCAGCTTAGAGAACGTGAGACTGAAGCTCAGAATCTGTGCCCGACGTTCATAAAAACTCAAGAGTACGTCTTCTTAGGAACTAAAATAAGATGGAGATGTGACTTCCAATTATAAATCTTCTACAGAACTTTTGTGCATCATTTCACAAACTCGTGCTCATGATTTTGTTGCAGTATAAAAGTATGTCAAGGTCCCTATGACCCTATACTGATAAAAGCATGGGAAGATTGGGATGCAAAAAATGGATCTGAGAATGATCACCCAGATTTTCCGGAGAAACAAGTCAGATTCTTTTCACTTCATTTTAAGAAGGTCTACTTATGTGTAATGCTGTATAATCTGTATAAGTGACATTTATTTGGCCGTGTGGTTTTTGTTTCCAGTGTTATGTCATGTTTGTTCTGGAACATGGTGGCAAAGACCTTGAAGGCTTCGTTCTTCTGAACTTTGATGAAGCACGAAGCTTATTGGTTCAGGTGAGCTATAGACTCTTTCTTGTAACAGCAAATGAGTAAATGATTTTTGGTTCTGATTAATAGCATGTGTGTCACATGTAAGGTCACCGCTGGCCTGGCTGTTGCTGAAGCTGCTTTTGAGTTCGAGCACAGAGATCTGCACTGGTATGCTTAGTATTTAATCTGGTATAGTTTCCTAATTAGTAGAGTTCTCAAGTCTGATCTTTTTTTTTTCTCTTTTCTCAGGGGAAACATTCTTCTAAGTCGTAATAACTCGAGTACTCTGCCTTTTACTGTCGAGGGGAAACAAGTTTTCATCAAAACTTTTGGAGTACAGATATCCATAATCGATTTTACGCTTTCAAGAATCAACACAGGTGAGTTTCTGGTTACCAATACTGTGATATACTAGGTCCTATATAATGCTTAACTACCAGTTTCCACGTTGCTAATGTGACCAGGTGAAAAGATACTGTTTCTGGACCTTACTGCTGATCCATACCTCTTCAAAGGACCAAAAGGAGATAAACAGGTAAGGCATTTAATGAAGCTTTCAGTTTTTTCAAGAGCTATGAAAATTGTATATTTATTTGAGCTTTTATAATGTAATATTGCAGTCGGAAACTTACAGAAAGATGAAGGCAGTTACTAAAGATAGCTGGGAAGGACAGTAAGTGTAAACTCTCCCGAGCCAAATTGAAGTGTGCTTTAAATGATTTGCTATTGTTTATATTTGCCATGTTTGTTCTTATTCTTTCTACCAACAGCTTTGCTCGAACAAACGTTCTCTGGTTAATCTATCTCGTGGATCTCTTATTGACCAAGAAGTCATTCGTAAGTTTGCAGGGCATATAGCTGATTGTTCTGTCTCAACTTAGAAAAACTTATTGATACCACTTTCTTTTTTTGCGTCTATGTTTCAGGAGCGGTCTTCGAAAGATGAAAGAGAGTTGAGGTCACTGAAGAAGCGTATGGAGAAGTATAAATCAGCTAAAGAGGCTCTTTCAGATTCTTTCTTCTCAGACATGTTGATGGACCAAATATCTTAAAGAGTGTAACAAAACTCACAAGTGAGTAACCAGAATCTCACTCTCCTTCTCTTTCTTGTAAGTCTTGGCCTAACCTCTAAAATCAACAATGTATTAGCTTTTATTTCATGATCTTCCCTCTGAAGTTGTTTATCAAAAGATCTATTATCTAATACCAATCTTGATTTTCATCTCTTCAAATGAATACAAGAGCTAATGTTAAAACTTTTGTATGTGACAACAGTTTAATGGTAGCTTTTGTCTGTGACACATGCTTTTGATTCCATGCAGTCTTTTTTGAAGAAAGTATCAAGATCTAACATTCCACATGGGTTGTCCCTACTTGCATGAATAGATCTTCTTATCTAAAGAACAATAATCAAACGTGTAGAGGATAAATGAGAAATTTGCTTTAGAATTAGTACAATAAACTAATCCATGAAAACAGCTAACAGAGCTTTACCTTCTCTGCTTTTCTCAGTCACTTTCCGCTTTGAAGGTTTCTTTTAAATCTTTGTGGGTTTGCTGAGCTAAGCAGAGATCAACCATTGGGTTAATTAATTTCATGATCTTAATCTCTTCCTTTTTCTCCTTTTTGGATAAGAGAAAAATATAATATTATACCAATTTGCAGCTTCTTTCTTGAGAACTTTGCAGAACTTTATGCATATGCTTGTGTCTGACAAAAATGAGTTTTTCTTTCTTTGGCAAAAGCTTTTATCTTTGTACAAAATAATATATACAGAAAATAAAAAGAAAACAGATGAGATTAGTCACTGACCAAATCCAAAAGACTTCATAGCAAAGCAAACATCTTTTTCTCTTTACTTTTTTTTCTTACTTAGTCACTTGCATGTTAAGTACAGTCAGCTTCATCCTTCTTTTTCTCCCCTAGTTTTCTCATGAAGAATCTCAAAGCTTTTATACTCCTTATAACCCAAGAAAGAAGAGAAGAAAACACAAACAATCTCAAGCTCTGATGGCGGCAAAACAGAGTTACTTCATCTTGTTTCTTTCTCTTGTCCCACTCTGTTCCTCAACAACTCATGATGTCATAAACCCACCAACTGTCTTCCCTACAAACCCAACAACAACACCTCCGGCTACTACATTCCCTCCGGTGACCATAACCCCCACAAATCCAGCGCCAACTCTTCCTCTTAACCCTCCAGTCACAGTAGTCCCTCCTACACTAACACCACCTGTGACCAACCCAATGACTCAGTATCCTCCAGCACAACCGTCAGGGACGGTTCCTGTGATTCCACCGCCTGTTGTCTCAAACTCTCCATCGGTTTCAGGACAAAGCTGGTGCGTAGCAAAACCTGGAGCCTCTCAAACCTCACTCCAATTGGCTCTTGACTATGCATGTGGAAGCGGTAAAGCGGATTGTTCTCAGATACAGCAAGGAGGCAGCTGTTATTCACCTATCAGTCTTCAGAATCATGCCTCATTTGCCTTTAACAGCTATTACCAGAAGAATCCTTCTCCACAAAGCTGTGATTTTGGTGGTGTAGCTTCAGTTGTTAGCACCAATCCAAGTAAGTGAGAAAAAAGAGAGCATATATACTATGCGTTGCAGTTTCACTTTGCTTGTACTGTGTTTTGAATTGTTTGTTACAAAACAGGTACTGGTTCTTGCGTTTACCAGACAGGTTCTAGTTCTGGCTCATCAACGTCAACTTCAGGAGGAACAACAACAACACCAACTCCATCAACACAAACAGTTAACCAGCCTCCTGTCACATCAACACCTATAACACCAACAGGAGGCGTGACAATCGGGTAATAAAAGCATTTCTTTCAACTATCTCTTGATTTTTTTGTCTCAAACCCTCTTTCAGAGTTTCCTAACTGAAAATGTAACTCTTATCTTTATATTCAAGGGTTGGAACTCCACCAGCGGTTTTTAACCCGGCGAATCCTTCATCAAACACTCTACCCAATCCATCCGCAGGAGGTTCAGCGGTTTATGGTTTTGATGGTTCACCTAATGGGAACAATCCAACACTATCAGACTCTACGAACTTGCAGATTCACTTTGGACACACTATGGTGGCAACATTGATTCTTCACGCAGTGCTATTTCATTAGAAATAGAATATATAGGTGTTGAATTAGTCTCATGACATAGTTATGCAAAGCTTCATTTAGAGTATCGTACCAAGAAGCTAGGAATGTAAGACATTATAAATTTGTTTGGTTCAACGCTCATACGTTGTAGGATACGGTCTTATCTACTTTAATATGATCTAATATTATTTCTTTGTTACTTAAACGCCTAAAAAAGGCAACTAATATCAGCATTGACATGGAGACAGCTTCATGCTGTCTTTTTGCAGTCAATTTCTCCCTTAGTTCTTGTATTGCCACATCGTTTTCGCTGCCCCCTTCTACATCCCGCATAAAAACAGCTCCACTGGTAGCATATGCATGCCAAATTACTATGCCATGTCAAAGCAAGTGAAACTTAACTTTTGAAGTTTTTGAGCTTGGATGCGTGTTTCGTGGGCAAAACTCTAACCTCAGTACCTTCTTCTTGAGATCCTGATCAATTCTCCTTTGATTCTCCAACTGGTCCAGAAGATTTTGAGCTTGGTTGCGTGTTTCGTGAGCTATATTTTATTGTTTCAGCCATCTATTATGTATCAAATTCTTTGGTATTTCTTATAAGCTATATGCTGAGAACGTGAAGAGCATGAAAGTTGAGTTCACTGTTATAGAACCAAGCCCTTTGAGACACTATTCATTCGCATACGTGATCACACCCATTTCTATTGATCAATGCACTAAGAATCTTGTGTTCATAACCACGAATTAAAAAAATCACAACACTCTGGACTACAAATGATCCCAATCCATCACCAGATTATAGGCTTTTGTCAGACACACACAGATACATCGGAGAAAAAACTTAGTTAGGATTCAATCAAACACTTGACAGTTCAAAACATTCCTGAACATAGTAAACGAACCAGCAAGAAACTGAAAATAAATAAATAAATAAAATAAATGAGATCACCTCTCACTACACTATTATAGAGAGAAGGCTGAATACTTTATTATTAGGTATACAAAGAGTATTTATACAGAGGAATACGTAGGTTAAGCCTAAGTATTAGGTAATTACAAATAGAGGCTCATAGTATAACATATTTCCTTAACACGCCCCCTCAAGATGGTGGTACTTGAGTAACACCAATCTTGGTTCTTATGCTCTGGAACGGTGTGCGTGAGAGTGGCTTTGTAAGGCCATCCGCGAGTTGATCTTTGGTTGATACGTGAACCACACGCAACATTCCTGTTTGAATCTGACCACGAACAAAGTGGAAGTCAATGGCGATATGTTTCATTCTCGAATGAAAAACCGGATTAGCACACAAGTAAGTGGCTCCTATGTTGTCACAGTACACTGTTGGTGTGGTTGGAACCTTGATTCCTAACTCAGTAAGAAGAGAACAAATCCATCGGAGTTCAGAAGCAGTGTTGGCAACGGCTCGGTATTCCGCTTCAGTTGAAGAACGTGCAACACCTCGCTGCTTTTTCGAGGACCATGAGACAGGATGAGAGCCAATATAGATAATATAGGCGTTTGTAGAAACATAATCATCAGAGTCTCCTGCCCAGTCGGCATCAGAATACGCATGGAGTGTTGTGGTTGCTTGTTTACGTAAGAAGATTCCATGTGTTAGCGTACCAGAGAGATACCGGAGTACTCGTTTGAGGGCCTGCCAGTGCTCATTAGTCGGTTGATGCATGAATTGAGATAATCGATTCACAGCATAGGATATGTCTGGTCTCGTCAAGGCTAGATATTGGAGACTACCAACAAACTTCCGGTATTCTTGGGGGTCAGAGAGGGCCATGCCTGAGTTGAGAGTGAGTTTGGGATGCGTCGGAAGTGGAGTCGCCACAGGTTTAGCATGTAACATGTTGGCTTTGAGTAGAAGATCCACAATGTATTTTCTTTGCATTAAGTGAAGCCCTTTAGCTGTGCGTATCGTTTCTATTCCCAAGAAATAGCTGAGGTTCCCCATATCTTTAATAGAGAACCGTGAAGCCAAGCTGGTGATAACTTGTTGGACTAGAAGAGAGTCATTCCCTGTCACCAAGATATCGTCTACATAAACCAGAACGTAGACAAATTTACCTTGAAGCTTGAGGATGAAGAGAGACGTATCAGAGAGGGAGTTTTGAAAGCCAGACAAGAGCAAGAAAGATCGCAGTTCTGAGTACCAAGCCCTCGGAGCTTGTTTCAAGCCATAGATGGCTTTGCGCAGTCTACATACATCCGTAGGTCTGTTGGTGTCTGTGAAACCAGGTGGTTGAGACATAAAAACCTCTTCATTCAAGTGCCCCTGCAGGAACGCCGTGTTGACATCAATCTGGCGGATAGGCCAATCATTGTTCACTGCCAAACCCAAAACAATTCGAATTGTAGTCGCCTTAATCACCGGGCTGAACGTATCATTATAATCAACTCCTTGTTGTTGGTGAAACCCTTTAGCCACAAGCCGAGCTTTGTATTTGTCAATGCTCCCATCAGGTTTATATTTTATTGTAAAAACCCATCGACATCCTATGACATTCATTGTCTCAGTAACAGCAGTGAGATCCCATGTATGATTCTCGGTTGTTGAATTGAATTCTGAGCTCATTGCTTTTCTCCAATGTTCATGTTTGAGCGCCTGCTGCCATGTTGAAGGAATCCAGTGAGGATCAGCTTGAAGAGAGGCAGTAAGGTTGTACCTTGTAACAGGCTTGACAATGTTGTTGCGGGAGCGAGTAGTCATGGAATGCCTTGGTGCTGGTTCTGCCACAACAGGTTGTGTTGCAGGGGCTTGAGTTTGAGACGCAGCTGTAGTAGAGTGAGAGGATGTCGCAGGAGAACTTACTAGAGGAGCTTGTGATGTCACAGGAGAATGATCATTAGCTTGTTGCGACGTACTTGGTGAGGGATCATTGCTGGAATTCCTGTTGTCCGAAGACACCGTAGGTGATTGTATGAGCGACTGAGGTAAGGGAACTGTGGTGAATGGCGGGTAGGAAGAGGGTGGTACAGAGGTGGGTGGGACAGAGGTTGGTGGTTTGATAAGTTGAGTGTAAGGAAATTGGGTTTCATTGAATCGTACATGTCGCGAGACAAAGATACGACCCGAGGCTGGTTCTAGGCATTGGTAGGCACTTTGGGTGAGAGAGTATCCAACAAAGACACAGGGAGAGGAGCGATGTTCAAGCTTATTTGGAGCATACGGTCTTAACCATGGAAAACAGAGGCAGCCGAAGGTTCTTAGTTTGGTGTAATTGGGTTGGATGCCAAAGAGCTTGTGGTAGGGAGAAGTGTTGTTTAGGACAGGTGTTGGGAGTCTGTTTATGAGGAATACAGCCGTAGCGAATGCAAAGGGCCAGAAAGAGAGAGGCATTTTGGCGGCAGATAAGAGAGATAGGCCTGTTTCAACAACATGTCTATGTTTTCTTTCAGACATGCCATTGTGTTCAGGAGTATGAGGTGGGGTTGTGAGGTGAGAAACTCCATGAGTAGACAGAAAATGGCGAAGGGCAATGAACTCCCCACCATTGTCAGTGTATAGGTGTCGAAGTTTGGTTTTAAATTTGGTTTCAGCTAAGGGTTTGAAGGTTAGAAAGATCTCTTTGACTTGAGATTTTGCTGTGAGGGGAAATAGCCATGTATAGCGAGTAAAGTGATCTACGAAAACAAGATAGTATTTGTAGTTTTCAGCAGATGGAATTGGGGATTGCCATACATCAGAGAAGACATATTCAAGAGGGTGAGTTGAATGAATAGTACTTTGATTGAAAGGAAGCTTGTGTGTTTTATTAAGTAAGCAGTCATTGCAGGGGGAAAGACTCAAAGTTTTATTGAAACATGGTAAAGAAAAGCTTGAAACAATCATCTTTAAAATAGAAGAAGAGGGGTGGCCTAATCGATGATGCCATTGAGAAACAGAGGTTTTGGTGTCAGGGTAAGAAATAAAGGATGCGGCTGGTTGGGAAAGGGATATAGGCCACTCATACAAGTCACCCTTCGTGTGTCCTTGAAGCAACCGGATTCCCGTTGCTAGATCCTTCACCTGAAAACAAGAAGGAAAGAATTCCACAGAAACTTGATTAGCATTGCACAATCTATAAACTGAGATCAAGTTCTTGTTTACACTCGGCACACATAGAATATCTTGCAGCTTGAGAGTTTTAGATGGCGTTAGAATAGAAGAAGAACCAGTATGAGTGATACTTAAACCTGAGCCATCCGCTATCGCAACTTCATCTCCTCCAGTGTATGCTTGATGGATAGCCAAGTTATTGAGATCAGAGGTGAGGTGATGTGTTGCACCGCTGTCAAGGAGCCAAGCATTGGGGTTGTACATCGAGGCTTGAGCTGCATGAGCACGTGGTTGCCAAGAGGTGGAGTGAGGCGTCATCTGTTGTGGATTCATGGAAGGCGAGTGTCCACCATGACGTTGGGGACAAGTACGAGCACTGTGCCCAAAGACACTACAAATCTGGCACTTTCCTTGATAGCCACCACCACGGGATTGTGACTGATGCGAGTAGGAGTTGAGTGATTGTTGTTGCTGAGTGTGGCCACCACGATAGCCACCACGACGATAGGTATTGTTGTTGGTACGGTTGTTGTGTGGAGGACCCCTGTAGTTTGTGAAGTTCGCGGTAACAGGGGCGGGAGAGACTGCTGCCGAGTGAAGTTGAAGTTTGGCTTCATGGTTGAGAAGCTTTTCATGGATCTCAGTGAGAGAGGGAGGAGTGTCACGACCTTCGATCTGATCAGCCATTGTCTTGTATTCTTCTGGTAGACCATTTAGGATGTGTTCAATCTGATCTTCAGAGTCCATTGGCTTCCCAAGCAAGGCTAGTTCATCAAAGCGAGTGGTGAGGCCTTGAAAGTACTCATCGATAGTTTTAGTACCTTTCTTCCAAGTGCGAATTTGCTGTCTGATCTGTTGAACATGGCCTCGACTTGGCTTGGCGTAAGTTGCTTGGAGGATAGTCCACACTTCTGCTGCAGTGGTTGCAGTCGAGAGGATTGGCTGCAGAGTAACAGTGATGGCGCCAAGAATTGCACTATAGACCAATCTGTCTTGGCGATGCCACAGAGTAAAGGCGGTGTTTGTGGTGATAGATCCATCATCGGAAGTGATAGTAGCAGGGGGAACAACAGCAGATCCATCAATGAAACGAACCAGATCATACCCATCAAGAAGAGCATGAACTTGTCTACTCCACATGAGAAAGTTGGAGGTGGTAAGCTTTGTAACATTAGTCATGTTAATGTTGAGAAGGGTGGGAGTGGTGGAGACGTTAATAGTCTCACTGTTGAAAGCCGGAGAATTGGAGCTACCAGACATGGTGATGCTCAATGAAAAGTTTGAAAAGAAAAAGAGGCGGCTTAGTTAGGTATAGCTAGCTCTGATACCATATAGAGAGAAGGCTGAATACTTTATTATTAGGTATACAAAGAGTATTTATACAGAGGAATACGTAGGTTAAGCCTAAGTATTAGGTAATTACAAATAGAGGCTCATAGTATAACATATTTCCTTAACAACTATTCTTCCTGCTTAACTTGCTCTACTGGGTCCAGTTTCTTGAGTTGTCCCGAGCTCTCTACCACTTCCAAAGCACCATTCAATGCAAGACTCTGTTTCAGTTTCTGATCTTCATCACCGGAGACCTCAAAGGAAGCTTCTTTAACCTTCTCAAAATCCGACATCGCCTTCTCATAGAGCTTGACGAAACACTCAAGAGTCTCTTGAGCCTCACGCGATCTCTTCTTCGCCACGTCACACTCTTTCCCCTCCCGTTCAGCTTCCATTTTAGCGTAGTAGACAGCCTTGCTCATAGAAAAAGCAGCGATCTTGCATGCACATAAGAAAGCCTCGGAGAGAGACTTATCCAAGAATCTAACACCGTTTGTGTCGATGGTTGGACGGAAGAAGGAGAAGGAGATAGGGTTCAGGCAAGGAGGACACAAGTAAAGAGTGGAGGAGGTTGCGTCGTCTCCGGCGCATTGGATGTGAGTGTAGGAGCAGCAGCGGGAACAAGAGACGCGGAGAGACTGATGCGGAGGAGAAGAGTCGTAGAAGGTTAAGCAGGTGGGGCAAAACGACGCCGGATGGCTGCGGAGGAGGCAATGCGTGCAGAAGAAGCGAAGGGCGCCGCGGAGACGTGTTGGGTGTATGACCCATGAATCTTTGCTGCGGCAATAGTCGCATATCTTGGTGAAACTCTCCGATGAATCAGCCGTCTCCGAAGACGGCGTTGACGACGGAAGGTGCATAGGGTTTGTCAGCGATTTGGGAAGGGTTTAGGTTTAGGGTTTACACAAAAGGTTTTTGAGTGTTGACGACGGAGAATAGTTTAAATTGATTAAGTTAAGACGTTGTAAATGGGCTTAATATGTTGGGCCGTCTTATTTTTTATATCGTGGGCCTATAATTCTAATTTACAAGAGAAGACAAAATCCACGATAAGCCCAAAAAATCCACTAAACACTCTTAGACGTGTGTATGTTATTAAAATGAATATAAAGGAGCTTTCTCACCTATGACCTGTCTTGATCTTGTTTAACGCTAGACGCAATCTCGAGTTCAATGCGACTAATCGAGACTCTAGCTTACACCTCACGAACATATTTTCACCAAAAACTTAGATACTGAGCAAGGTGGTCTTGTGCAAAAAGGGTTACATAAAAAGAGTTTTGACTTTTTTAGTTTCCGACTGATATCTTCTAGTTCTAATGGAGGTGGATTAGGACAGCTCTAACTAATTACGATGACCAATGAGTTACAACAAGTAACAAGAAACGGACACGTGGAGCATATAGGGAGACAAATGAAGTAAAAGAGGATTACCCTCTTAACTGAAACTTGAAAGAGAAGGAAATGGTGTTAATGTCGCAACGCAAAAGAAAAGTTAGACATCATTTTGCTTTTGGCAACACTAATATATCAAGATTATCTATGATTATGTCTTCTCTCATGTCTTACCAATTAGATTGGGCCATATAAATTAGAGTGATATCAACCATACAATCTCTCGTTTAATCAAACTTGAAATGTTGTTTGCCTTGTTTTCTAAGTTTGATCTTTTTCTCCACCACAAATCACAAAACACAAATCAAATGATGATTATGTGAAAAGCAGATGAGGCAAGCAACTAATAAATATATAGTACAACATTACACAAGCACACGGGTTACAATCTTTGTTTGCCGTATCTCATTCATGAAGTTAACTAGAATATGAATTCATTAAATCCTCAAAGATGCTAATTGGAAAAGCTGATGAATGGGCAAGCTAAATCAAGAGTAATTAACAACGTGACCTGAAGTCGAAGTCTTGAATAATGACACATAAATATATTTATTAATATGAGCCATTACTTTTGAAAATTAATGAAATGGGAATTTAGGATAAACTTTTAACAAATTAATCAAACATAATATAACAAAAGGGTCCTTCGCATAAGTGCATGCATGTGCTAATGTTTCCTTGATGAAAGGATTAATGCTAAATGGGCCAATTAAGATGGTATATAATGAAGGTCACTTCTCACTGGGACCCCTCTCTATCTTTCTCTGTGACTTCATCCTCTTAATCTAAAATGTTATCAACTTTCAAATAAGTCACTTTCTCCATGTCTAATTGATAATTTCTACTAGAAAATATATTGACAAATCTTCCATCAACATCTTTGATTCGTTGTAGAATTTGATTATATATTGTGCACTTTCACAAAGTTTTATTGGATGCATATTTTCATTAGTCATTACGAAATATGATTGGTGGTTACATATGGGCTAATGGTTAATCTTTTAGACTTTTGTCTAAATCATCTAATTATGGAAAACTATATAAAGTACACAATAAACTACATATACATTGATCATTGATGTATCATGTATGATTATTATTAATAATTAGGTTTTGCTATAGCCAATTAGCCATGTCAGGTCCCTAATTTCTTTTACAAAATACTTACCATTATTTTTTATTGAATTTACTTTCATAGTTTTTTTACTTTCATGTTGATAGTTAACAATGGCTTTGAGATATCAAATTTGTTTTCCAAAAAATTATTAAAATTGTGGAAAAATAATAATTTTAGATGATGATACAATCGTTTTCATTTCTGGCATTTTTATTTATTTTGTATCCATTTTTATGTTAAGATAACTTTCTACATAAATAATGTTTGATCAAGAGAATCCATAGACTAAAAGTACATTAGTAGTGCAATGTAGATTACAAATTTTTCTTTACATGTCATTGCTTTCTTATAAAGCATTAGTTAATTAGTTTAATTTTGGTTGCGAAATTCCAAAGTGCGTTGAAACTAAAAGTACCAACGAATCATCTATAATTGTTTGTTAAATTTTCATACAAGTTTTGGAATCCTAATAAACGTGTAAAGTTTAGAACCTCTTCTTCTTTTTCTTTTAATTTGTCACCTAAGATTTTATAATTTGCATGAGTTGTGATCACAATGAAAAATTAAGGAATGACATACATGTAAGTATATCCTTTTTAATTCTCTATTTCGAGAGGATAATTAGCTTTTTAACAATTAAAAAATACAGCAGTACAAATGTTATCATATGTGTGTTTTTTGTTTAAGTTGTATATATGATTTATACATTTCTAAATTTCAAATTGAAGCAAAAATAGAAAACTTCTATTCTAGTGCATGAAGATCAACCATGCAAACTATTCGATCATTCACCGCCAAAACAAGGGTTCGTAAAATGAGAAACAAGAATTGGTTCTGTATTATATTTTATGTTTGTGTATGCATTTACATCGCTACTAATTATACACTATTAAATTTACCTGTGAGTCAGTATAAATTAAATATTTATTATATTATATAAGAAAATCAGCTCTATAATATTTAATTATGATGGGATATAAATTATAAGGATCTGTGATCATCATGAGAGTAAAAATTGCTGAAATTTGTTCTCGGATTGAATTGTATGTACTATCATAACTTAAACGCGTTTTTTTTTGTCATCCATAACTAAAACATGTATAAACTTTAGAAAATCACTGAAATATTGAAGAGAGAAAAAAAAACATCTAGAGGTAAACGACATCTTCTTGCTGAGATTAGACTGAAAAGCTGGAAACAACGAAAAAAGATGCATGCTCCTAATCAAATCAAAATTAACGCCTAAATAATCTGAATATTGATATGGTTTACATATAATGGAAGGGCTGCGGCGGATACATATACATGATTGTCTTATAATCATGGTCGATGATGATCAAATGATGGGTCTCAATAATGCATAATCCTAATCGAATATGTTCCATTTTTTAGGGGATACTAATATTATATCGTGAAGCTATAACATAATGTTTCTTTTCCATGATATACTCCAAGAACGTGTTGATTGGCATTAGTTTATTGAGTATGATTAAAAGGAAACTCGCTGCAATTGCAAAGTCTTTCCATATATTATATGCGTTTCTTGTAATTAATCATTTGGTGAATTGTTTAATTCGAAGTATCTTCTGACAGCTTTGCTTCGAGATATTCTACAATAAAACCAGGAGTTCATTTGTTTTATTGTGTTTGATTATGAGACATTCATGTCGGTTTTGCTTATTTCTATGAGAAGGGATTATTATGATCGAGTCTTCTTTTTAAGCTCATGCATGAACAATGGCACTCAACAATATATTCTCTCGTTAAAAGGCTTCATAATATGTGGATATAACAAATAATTCTTGTTACAAAAGAAAAAAAATAATTCCATTAGTTGATTTCTAAATTCTCTAGGAGGGGTTTTTCATAAATATATCTCGAATCAACTAAGCTAACAATTTTAACTCCATGATGTTAAAGATGTCATAATACATTATACATGTATACTTTTTGTCCACGATTTATCTAAGATTGGGTCCCAATAAACAAATGGATAAAAGGTAAGAGTGTAACGAGTGGCCGTCTCTAGATAACGTAAGAAAACTACAAGAATTCAACATGTGAATATTTGAGGGAAAGTTTGGGTTGAATGTACAAAGAATATACCCTCTCTATTATGACTCGTTTTAAGGCAAAAAAGGAGAGAAAATGCCAAAGAGAAGTGAGTCAATTAAAATTTAAAATGCATGAAGCAAACAAAAGATATACTTATTATTCTCATTCATCTGCAAAAGAAACCATGTCTTTAAAGCAATTTTTCTAATTATGTAGCAATTTCACTCCATTTAATAATTTCTGGAAATATCAACCAATGGTGTCAATTTCTTGCTGGAGATGAATCTTTCCCATTTTTTCCTTTAATTGATGCGTTCTTCTTAACAAAGATCTAGTCCTCATTTAGCATTTGCTTTTAATTCATTGCAGAAGTCTTTCATGACGACAACAAACAACTCTTCTTTGTCACCATTCTTATTGTCTACACACTATCTAATTGTTCCATTCTTACTGCAAACAACTTACTTATAACGCTTCGACCGCTCTAGTAGATAGTATTAGTTTTGTGACTATGTGTTCAGTGCTCAAAAAATAAAGTTAAATGTGATTATTTTCATATAAATAAATATTGAGAATCACTTTGTTTAGGGCATATCATTACTCAAAGAGTTTGATAATCCTGCCACATACCGAAAAACGTTTTAGGAGAACAAAAGAGAAAGAAATTGTAGATTTTTTTTTTTTTGGTAAAAGAGTTGTAGAATTCATGCCATCTCTTCATATATATCATGGAATTTACATCTTCCGATCTTCTTATAAAAATCTCTATTGACTTTTCATGAATTTTCTGAACTAAAAACTCTAGAAAAGTTGCTGAGGTCACACCGTTTATTTGGCTGCGTAGAGTATCTCGTAACATCTTCGAGAACAGGCCAAACACGAATGAGCATGTCTCCACTACTGACAATCACGCTTATTTATCAATACTAACTCAAAAAGAAAATAGTTTTTTTGGAGATTGATTGATACTAATGTCGATCATACTTTAGTTCCTGCATTCGAATGTATGAAAATGGGTCCACAAGGACATGACGAATGTATGATGATTAAAGTGATGTAAATGTCAAAACAAAACTACATGAACTCCATTTGTTAACCATGATTCTTACCATTGGTACAAGTCAATCCGACGTGGACCAATCAAATTGCTTTTTACAAAAGCTTAATAATACAGTACATACTTTTTTGCCTCAGGGCATAAAATTTCAACAAACTATTCTGAAGAAAGTGACTTTTCTTAGTCCTATTAATACTATCTCTCTCTGAAGATCTGTTATTTCATTTTCTCCACCTTTCTTCTCCTCAGATTCCATTAACCTTCAAAAAAGTTTTCATATACATTTCTCTCTGCTTAAAAACAGAGCTTTCTTTGCACAGCATTGCAGATTTAATAGATTAAATGGGGAGACACTCTTGCTGTTACAAACAAAAGCTGAGGAAAGGGCTTTGGTCTCCTGATGAAGACGAGAAGCTTCTCAATCACATCACCAGGCATGGACATGGTTGCTGGAGCTCTGTCCCTAAACTCGCTGGTAACATTTCTTACTTTACTCAGAAGAAAAAAAAGAAACTATCTTTTTGTAACTATAAGTCTTGAGTCTGCTACAGGTTTACAGAGATGTGGAAAGAGTTGTAGATTGAGATGGATTAATTACTTGAGACCTGATTTAAAAAGAGGAGCTTTTTCTCCTGAGGAAGAGAATCTCATCGTCGAGCTTCACTCTGTCCTCGGAAACAGGTAAAAATACTGTCTAGGAATGAAGAAAAAGCATAGAAAACAGAGGAAAACAGAGTATAATCCCCTGTTTTTTGGCTCTGCTCTGTTTCAACAGAGGTTCATGTCTTATGTATTAAGCCTCCTCTGTTTTTTTGCTCTGTTTTTTTTTTTTTAAATCAGATGGTCACAGATTGCGGCTAGACTACCGGGAAGAACCGACAACGAGATCAAGAATCTATGGAACTCAAGCATAAAGAAGAAACTGAAACAAAGAGGCATTGACCCAAACACACACAAACCCATCTCCGAAGTTGAGAAAGACAAACCAACAAGAAGCAGCAACGACCACAACAAGTCTCCTAGTTCCTCTGCTGCAACTAACCATGACTTCTTCCTCGAAAAGCCATCTGATTTCTCCGATTACTTCGGTCTTCAGAAGCTTAACTTCAACTCCAACCTTTCTCTTTGTACCATGGTTCCGGAGCCGTTTAGCCCCGGAAACATGGTTGGTTCTGCTTTTCAGGCTCCGGTTTGCGTGAAGCCTTCAATTAGTCTCCCTCAGGACAACAGTTCGAGTTCTGTCTCAGGAGGACCTAACTGGGAGTTTCAGACAAACAACACCTTCGACAATGGTGGATTCTCATGGTCAATCCCTTCTTCTTCAGTAGTTAAACCTAATCACAACTTTGAAGAGATTAAATGGTCAGAGTATTTGAACACACCCTTCTTCAATGGAAGCACAGTACAGAGTCAAAACTCTCAACAGATCTTCATCAAATCAGAGGCTGATTACTTAGGCAAGGTTTCAAACGTGACAGATCCTTGGAGCCAAAGCCAGAATGAGAATCCAGCTACACCTGAAGCTAGTGACGTGTTCTCCAAGGATCTTCAGAGAATGGCTGTCTCTTTTGGTCAGTCTCTTTAGCTTATCTTTTTTTTTTTCTTAATTCTAACAGATGTATAGAACAAAAAACATATACCATATACGTAGAGTGGAGTTTTAAGTGTTCTGTATATTCATGGGGGTAAAAAAAAATTGAGCTGTCTTTTATTTTTTTTAAGTGTGTTTTAAACGTCAGAGATTCTTCTATCTTATGCAAACCTTTCAGTTTCATAGTACTATATATACATTTATTTTTTGTTTTGTTGTTAAGATGATGATGTGTAGTAATCTTTATGGTTTCAGATGTCTAAGTTTGCAATTACTCTGTTGAAGCACAATGATGAACGTAATAAATCAGTTTCTGTCTGTTTCTGTGAATGTGTTGTGATCCAGAGTCACATCTTTCACCATTTTTCAGACCTGTGATTAATTACAAGACAAAACAGAAGACACAAAGAAAACACATAATTAAAGCAAAACATAATTGATAAACTTAAGTGGCAATTAGCTCAACTAATAAGAAGTGACATTTTTTAGAAATGATCCTAGTTTAAGAGTATTTTCTAATTTTCTTCCTTATAATAGATGAATTTTGAGTGTTACAAAAAAAAAGATGAATTTTGAAATAGAGTTAAATATCTCTCAAATTTATATTTTCTTTTCAAAGAAATATTTTAATATTTTTGTTACTATTTTAAAAGTGAATTTTTGTTTATAAAACAATATGAAATATAAGGAATCGAATACCCTTAATTTATGGTTATTATAAACTTTGGAAAAAGTCTTCATTTATTTGTTTAGTCTTTTTCTATTGTATGTGCTTTTTTGTAAGAGTCTTATCAGAGAATTGGAATTGTCCCCATTGACCCAAAGCTTATGTTTTGGCCGGCGTCGGAATATTCTTTCGATAATTTTTCACAAGTATAGGTCGAGGATTTGACCTTAATTAACATGAAATGATGGGATGGTTTTCACTTATTATCCGAAAGTCAAAATTGATTTGTTTAAATATCTTTAAAGATTCCAACACAAAAGCCACTTTTTACTTTTAGAAATAACCTAACGTAAATATGAAATGTTTGTTTGAGTTTAATTTTTACGACGATAGTAAAATAAAAAAGATAACTATTATCTGTTGACGGAAATTCTTTTAGGATTAAAGATCGAAGAACTTATTTTAATTTATTTGTTGGGTGAGGAAATGGATACAAATACATTTATGGAATCCCTTCACAGCCTTTCAATGAAAAAACTCAACAATAATCGATGGGAATGAAGTGAAACAAACATCTCCTCAACAATATATCTTGCTATCACAGTGATAATCAGTCTGTGAACTTACTTTTTTGCTCTTTCAAAATACCAATCTCCAACAACGACAGCAATCCCCTGTTGTTTTTTTGTTACAACAACAAGACATAAACATTATTATGCATGTTAAAAAATCAAAACAATATATAAAAGACTTAATAAAATCACGCAAGAGCGTTTTTTTTTGTTCTCACCTTATCTTCACCCGGTTGAGAGTTTCCAGGAAACCAAGTATCTTTTCTCTGCGCTAGACAATGAGCCCAGCGCGAGATAATAAACATTCCGTTCTTGTTTGACATCGAAAAAGTCTTTAGGGCATCTAACATGCTCATTCTGAAACCTGTAAGTCGGTTTGTTAATATATAAAAGCTTGTGAAGAGTTATAATGTCCATGTTTTTTCAAATAAGACATTAGATCAGAGATTGGTAGGTGTAGTTAAAACATCATTAGTAACCTTCCATGAATTGCATCTGAGAGGCGTTGCACGTGAAGCTGGAGCTGCAATTATGCCAACTGCCACTCGGATCAGCAGATGGTGGAGCTATGCTATTTTCAATCTGCATAGAAAAACAATATAGTCTTCTGGTTAACTTAGATTCAAGAATATTGTTATGGAGCTCTAGTAGCTCATATCGAGTGAGTAGATGAATGTCACGTGTCAGTGGTTGGGGCTTATAAATCAAGAAGTATAGATATAAGAATTTCTTTATCGGTTTAGCTTATAAAAATTATCCTGGTGAATGTACTAATTTATTTGATTTTATATGCGCAAAACCCTAAAAATGGCGATTTGCTCGAGTTTTGTTATTCTCTTTTTTTTTATGCGAGTTCATCAAATTCACCAAAACCACAACGAATAGTTAAAGAAAGCAGAGATTGAATAATAATTAACCTGCCACGAATCAAATGCCGAGTTGAGAATAAACAGCGGGGTCTTGACTTGGTTAATTATGTTTTGAGGGAAAAAACACTGTAAAAATATTGAAACCAAGTTAAATAAATGAGGAACTATACACAAGAAAACAGCTCAAGAGTAATTAACATGCATGATATCAATACGTACCGAAGTTGGATCGAGATGGTTTGTACATGTGCTAGGAAGCATATTTTGCAAACCCTAAAAGTTAAGAAAAACAATTTTTATTGGTTAGCTTTCAACCATCTTTAATTATCAGCATCAAGACTTCATAACGTTGTACACTTTTACTCGTACCTGGGTGTTTACAACACCAGAATACATACGCCTTAAAGAACGAGCTCCAGATATATCAACCCTTCATTTAATAAACAAGACACAAAAGCATATATTAAATTCGGAAAAAAAAATAAAAACCAAACAAAGAAAATGACTCACGCATCAAGGAAGAAGCCAGCATCGCTCATGCATTTAACTTTGGTGGTAGGAGGAAACAAACTACTGAAATCATCGCAACGTAAAATCGATGCAAGACCTCCAGAAGAACATCCGCTGAGCAAAGCCTTGTAAATAATTACATTTATTACCAACTTATTAGGGTTTTAAGAAATATAGCAAAATATAGAATCTAAGTACCTGCTTGGCATGACACATTCCCTTTGCCATCAAATCTTCCATGACGGCTAAAAATATACGCTTACCTCTAAACTGAAGTTGTGCGGTCTAATTGTAAGCAACCATATGAATCTCAAGTTAAATTACTAACAAATATATATAATCAATCAGAAAGCAAAAAGATGTTTATATGGTTTTATAGCTAACCTTGTTTTCGCTATCACCGCTAAAGGATGCGCCATCACAGTACCGAACTACTGCTTTATTCCAATTGTAAAAGTCTGCGCAACATGAGATGAGAATAATCCAATAAGAGTTCCACTACATCACATTTTTGTTTTCAATAAGGGATCTTGCATGAGATAAAAACCTGGATTTTCAGCGGCTTTATTGCTTAGTATTCCTTTAAACTCTATCGGTGTTTCCATTAAGGTAGACGATCCAACACGACTCCTTTTACGGTTCTGACAATCTTCTATGCTGTCACACCACGCACCACCCTTTTTAAAAAAAAAAATTGGCGTTAACGATTAGGTGATGAGGTATAGAAACCGGCCAGTTTGCCTAATAGCCCACTTGGAATGTGGAATGTGTAAAAATGAATATTTAGTAATTGTTAATGTGTAATGCTCGTATAATGAATATTTAGTAATTGTTAATGTGTAATGCTCGTATATTTTCATGAAGATTAGCATGTTTTTTCACGTGATTCTGCTATATTGTCCCGTTTCAGAATGTTTATTAAGTTTTCATGAAAACTGACGACGTGCAGTGTATATACATTTAACTTGGAGCTATTAGAGATATAACTAAAAGACGATAAATATTAGCTGGCCTGCTAAACCCCAAAATTTTAACGTTTTGTAGTTATTTTATCAAAAATTTTATTCAGTTCAAGTGTTATATTCGACTAATAAATTATTTTGCAAAAACTCTTTTACCACTGCATTATTCTGCTGACATACCAATCAAAATTCATAAGTACATTTTCCACCCATCTGTCTTCCTCTTTCCATAACAATAACTTATAGGAACAGTATTTTAGCAAAAAAAAAAAAAAACTTATAGGAACAGTTATATTTGTAGTTTTCAGTTGATAGACCAACTTTTTTTTCAATTGAAGCAGTATTTTTGGTATTATCCCTACAACTTTAGATTATCAGAAAAGGATAGGCAGTATGTACTATATAGAGTCTATTCCATTATTTTATTAATCTCGAGCTACTAATCTGGATTACTATAAACACGTTAAGAACATTACACTAACAAGAGAAATTAAATTAAAATACTATACTGGTTCGGTTCCAGCCATGATATCATGGGAAATTATTGCAAATGTAGTTTAGAAAAGGCTATATTACGCCCAGGTATATATGTATATATATAGTCTATAGACATAAAAAGTATAGACTAAATCTTATGTACGAACCTGCAACTGAATGATCCAGTTGTTTGCTCCTGAACCGTACCCACGATACAAATGATATCCAGGCACTGACCCGTCCAGACACACTGCCACAACAAAGTTAGCCAGTATCAGTTAAGAGCGTTTTAATAAAGTAGTATTGATGAAAACATGGTCTCCAATGTTTGGTTGTGTTTGTTCTTTTACATGTTGTATTGGAGTAAAATCTCTCTTATTAAAACATAAATATTTTTTGGACCGAATTTTAATAAGATTTTAAATTAAGTACACTACTCTATTATAAAGTTATATCCACATGTATCTATTAATTATTTTTCTTATGATTTGAGTGTTTAGAAATAAACTAACCAACACTTTTTATTTTATTTTTATTTATAAACCAACATTTTTAGATTTATCTATTTTTTTTCTTTTTGAATCAAAACTTGCCAGACCAGATGCATTATATATAATATAAATATTTTATTAACTTTTTTTTTTGTAAAACACTATTTTATTAACTAATCTATTGTAATTTGCCAGACCAGATGCATGTTTTATTGTAATTTATTTTAATAAAATTGAAACATCAGTATCAATGATGGACATTGTAGTATTGTTTGGTTTCTTGAAAAAATACAAAAAGGAAAAGTCAAACCCAACATTTTATGTAAATTATTTTCTCAAAACCTGGAAGATGTTTTCTAGTTTGTTTTTTTTTCAGAGAAGCAAACCGAAGGAAAAAGATTTTGAAACATCCGAAGTCTAGATCTGAAACAAAATGAATAAAGAGACTTACCAGCTCCTTCAGCTGCAGCGGTTTGGACCAGAGTGAGTCCTACCATCAGAACATCTGCACCATCATCTTGTTTCTGAAACATATTTGCACCTTTGAAATTGTTAAACAAGTCCATTTCATCAGAACTCATTACCCCATTTGCAAGAATGCTCAAGAGAAAGAGTCCTGTGAGACTCCAACTCCACAAAAGAGCATTCATTTTCCTCTTACCGAAAATGAACATGGAGAGGCGTATGCCAAGTGGTGAGTATATATAAGCGGAGAAGAAAGCATCAAATCAGTTCATGGTCCTTTGTAGAAACTAGAAACACGTTTTGATATGGAAAACCCCAATTTTAAAATAAAGATCAGAGAGAGACAATAGCATTGGTTACCTATCATAGAGTCACATGAAAGATATATTAGAATTTTTTTGTCTTCTTCACTCTTCAGTAAAGAATTCTGCATGATCTTGCCATATTTAATTTACCAGATATTGAAAAATGTGACAGACAGACTGTAACGGAGGTTTCAAAGATCTCTTTTGTTGGCAAGGATTCTATTTTACCTTCAACCAAAAAAAAAAATCTGTGTATAAATGTATACAGGTACATTTGTGGAATCCCTCCAGTACTTCCTTTCTGTGACAACCTCAACCATACTTGATGATATAATGCAAAATAATTAAACATATCGTAATCACGATTCTTGCTGTCACAACGATATATAATCAGAGTCTATGAGCTTGACTTTGTTTTGTTCTTTCTAAATAATAATCTCCAACAGCTAAAGCAATCCCCTGTGTTTTATTTTCTCCAACAACAAGTGCAAAAATTATTTCTGAAAGTGATTTTACAGGCTTTCAAATCCAAGCAACATGTGTTAGAAACAATATTTTAGTAATCACGATCTCATCAATAGTAAAAGAGTCTTTCTGTTTTGTTCTGACTTTATCTTTAAGAGCTTGAGAGTTTCTTGGAAACCAAGTATCTTGCTCTCCGCTTGGCAAATAGATGACCAGCAAGAGGTAATTAACACTCCTTTCTTCCTTTCTTGATATCAATAAGGTCTTTTAACTCATTTAGTATGCTTATCCTAAAACCTGTAACTAGGAATTCGGAAACAAGAAACAATCTTGATCACTTTGTTAAAATTACTTGAAAATTCTAGTTCACTGTATTATCATTTTTCAAAAGCAAATTATTATTATATTTATTTTCAAGTTTTTTAATGTATGAGTGCTCTAAGTTTCGGAAACACATTTGTGCCGTTGAATTTGTTACACCACTTGTAAGAATGCTTAAGAGAGAGCCGAGGGAAGGTCATTAATTACCAGTCATATGAAAGATTTATAAGTTAAAAACTGTAACAAAAAAAACTGCTCCTTACTTTTTTTTTTTTAACACTGGATAATTATGCATTACAAATTATGAGAAATATTACATAGACAATATTACAGCCGACAATTCTACCTGTCTTATGCGGATTCACGTCTGACTGCATCACCTTGAGCCGCCCTATGAGATTCATTCCTGACGGTACGACTTGCGCTATGCTGAAGATCTTTTGTAAAAGTCTTTTCTCCAGTCTGCATAATTCGCCATTCACCACTTCTGGGAATTGAAACCCTCCTGGTATAGAAACTGCATAGCCTGGGATTTGAACCCCAGACCTGGTGTAGAAGCATTTAAACCTTAACCACTAGACTACGCTTTCCACAAAATCAAGCTTTGCTCCCGAAAAGGCTCAGTGATAACTAAAGCCCATATACAAATTTTGAAGGATCGACCCAACCCAACCCACTAAAGACGACGCCGTAGCTTGAAGACAAAATTAAATTAGAGAGATTGGGAGCAAGAAGCAAAAGCCATCAAAGTCAGAGGATATTTTTGCAGATCATCAAATTTCCAATGATAATATAAATACAGCAGGACAGATAAGACTTAAAAGAGTAAAGACAAACATTACTTGATAAGTACATTAGGTAACAATAATCAAATTCCCCTATTATTCTATGAAATCATTAAATGTCTATAAACCGTGTAACGTGTAAGACCAAAACAACTGCAGGCCATTTTTTCAATAGCACAGCCCTGATCCATTCGTTTTAGTATTCGTTGACCTTTGACATTTCATTTAGACGGAAGAAGAGAAATAAAAGCAGGAGGCATGTTCCTTGCTTCTCTATCTCTCTGTCTCAACGTGAAAAGTCATTCCTTTCTTCAATTCCTCTCTCCTTTATAAACGATCATTCCCAACTGCTACAGTCTCACCATCAACAATCAACAATGGCATCACCAGCTCTATTACTCTCCGTCTTCCTAGGCTTCATTGCCTTCTTCTTCATCACAGTCTCAGCAGATCCCGACATGCTCCAAGACCTCTGCGTCGCTGATCTCTCCTCTGGTAACAAAATCTTGATCTCATCTTTTTCATTTTCTTGAAATTAATATTTTTAATCTTTTTAACGAATTTTCAGGAATAAAAGTCAACGGCTTCCCTTGCAAAGACGCAGCCAAGGTCACATCACTAGACTTCTTCTCACAAGGAATAGCAAACCCAGGTCTCACCAACAACACATTCCGTGCCTTAGTCACAGGAGCCAACGTGATGACAATCCCAGGTCTCAACACACTCGGTGTCTCCATGGCTCGCATAGACTATGCACCAGGTGGCTTAAACCCACCTCACATTCACCCACGTGCAACAGAAATCGTCTACGTCCTCGAAGGAACACTAGACGTTGGGTTTTTAACCACAGCCAATAGACTCATCTCTCAATCTCTCAAGAAAGGTGACGTGTTTGCTTTCCCTAAAGGACTTGTTCATTTCCAGAAGAACAATGGTCGTGTCCCTGCTGCTGTTATCGCTGCTTTTAATAGTCAGCTTCCTGGAACTCAATCTCTTGGTGCTACTTTGTTCGGTTCTACTCCTCCTGTTCCTGATGAGATCTTGTCTCAAGCGTTTCAGACAACTCCGAGGATTGTTAAAAACATTAAAAGCAGGTTCCAACCCAAGAACTAATCATATCTCCAAATTTTTGTTATCGGTTTTGTCCGGTTCTGTTTTCTTATGGAATGATCTTTACTCATTTTTATTTTATCTTGTGTAATAAAGAAAAACAATAAATTGATCATTGAGTGTTCATTTTGAGTTCCATTGTTTCATGTATTGTATCTTCTGTATAATGCAATTGATATTTTTTGGTTGCAAGTTGACTATAAACAGGACAAGCCAATGTTCAAAAAAGAAAATTGACTAGAAACAGGCGAGCTGATGTTGATTTTTTATTTTAAAACTTCAAACTAGATTTTGATCCGCGCAACCGCGCGGGTGTTTGTTTTCGTTTATAGTTAGTTATATAAACATTTTGTTTTCATTTGCAAATTGGTATATATAATAGTAATCACATATTTACGATATGTATAGTAAATATTTTCAAACATAATAATATTATATAATATGTGTTTTAATCAAATAGATTGTTTCAAAATTTTTATATTATACATATTTTTTAAACATGTGTTTGTTTCTTTTTCTATATTTTATTGTTTGTTAGATTGGTATTTTATTTTTAGATAAAGTAATATAAATAGAGTTTGATTAAATATTAGTATACTTTAATTTGCAAAGATAATATAAACTTCGAATAAATTTTTGGCAAAAACTAAACTTATAACTTCATAAATTAATATTATAAATAATTTTTTTAAAAATAATTTTTAAACAATTTCCGTTTTTTAAAACATATAATTTTTAAAATTTACGAAATAAATTTATCTATTATATATAGCGTGTAAATTTTGTTAGGGTATATAAATATTCCATATTACAAATCTGTGATTTTTGTTAATATATTGTAGATGCATTTAACTATTATTGACATATTTCCTTATAAATAATAAAAGATTCCTAAACTTATATCTATTGACATATTTTGTGTGACTAAGTTGGAAGGTGTGGGGTAATTTACCAAAACCAAATTATTAGGGGTATCTTTGTTATTATATATATGATTTTTCATAAGATATAATAATGATAAGATTATTAGAGAGTTAATGTAACATGATTTTCTAGTAATAGTCCATTTTTTAAAAAATCACACATGAAGTCAAGTCATGACTTCTGTTTTAATATATAAGATATAATATGAAAGCAGATAAGCTACTTAATCATATAATATAATCAACTTGATAGACATACACGTATGGGCCTATTAAATCTGATTAATTAACTGATGAGATTCAAATTTTATACTTCTCCCATGTGATGCTTCTTTCAAACCTAAGTGTACATCATATGGCCAGCTAATTAGATCCTTGTAGAATTTAATCTGTCTGATTCTGCATGGACTAGAGCAAGGTAATCCGTTTCACAAACATTAATTTGTTGTTGAGAGATCAAACATAAACGGCCAATGGGCTATGCCATAAGGCCTAAGAAAACAAAATAAAGATAGAACAAACAGAGAAAAAAAAAACACTTAAAAAAAGCAACGATTTGGCAACTACCACAAGACACGGATCGGTGATTACAATGAGAAAGTTTGAAAGTTCGATGAAGATGGCTGCTAAGATACGTCACGTCATTCCGACAGCGATCCTTCTGTTCATTATAGTTTCGGTCTGTGAGGCTATTTGGCTAGACGTGCCTCCCATATGAACAAAGTGTGTGTCTGAAGAAATACAGAGCAATGTCGTCGTTTTGGCGGATTATATCATCATATCTGAGGTCATTCTGCCGTACCTACTATATCCGCCAAGGTAAATGTCTTTGGTTTCTGTTCTGAAACATCGTGTCCTCGCTTGTTCGGTGATTTGAGACTGTATTTTTTGTTACTTGGTCCGTAAGCTACAACTGATCCATAAGGGTGTTTCCTTCTAAACGTTTGAAATTAATCACCACAAGTAATTAAAAAAAAAGGTTTCCTTATTTGGAAAAGTATGAACATGATGTTGCATGTCTTTCTAATTTGATCGCTATAATGAATTTATTTACTTTGCGATTAAAATTTTACGTTAGCTAACGGTGGCAATTTCAACTCTTTGGTGGCACTGGTACTATCTCATCTTCACCAAGTAATGATTTTGTTAACGAACGTGAGATCTTTATGTGGTTTTTTTCTGTACGACTGTACCAATTGTCATTTCAGATCATAAATAGTTTTTATAAGTAAGAGTATCATCAATCACTTGGTGAAGATACTCTTTTGTGATGTAGGTGACGTCCCCATACAGAAACAATCTACACCATTCAGCAACGTGACGCATGGAGAATTTGCATTTACAACGAAAGAATCAGGGAACTACATAGCTTGCTTTTGGGCAGATGCAAAGAGTCATGGAAACAAAAATGTTAGTATCAACGTTGAATGGAAAACTGGAATCGCTGCTGAAGATTGGGCTTCTATTGCTAAGAAAGAGAAGCTCGAGGTAGCATGTTCCTTATGTTTTTACTTTAATATCACTGTCACTATACTATACTATATGTAGCACCCATGGGTTGTTTATTTAAGACATTAAATGTGCTGCTTG